GTTTACATGAGAATGGGACGAAAATAACTCACACCGATCTCGAAAATAACTCATTCTGCCTGCTGGGCCGAGCCGACTGACTTCAAACCGGCATGAATTCAGACTGGGATGAATGTAAACAGAAATACATTTCAGACTGGTCTCGGCTGTAACCTTGACATTGGAACCGCAACACATGCTAACAAAAGCCATCTAAAAATATGAATTCCTTGGCATGGGGAATAAATTGAAAATTTTGTGATTTTAGTACCGGTCTCATGTAAACATGTTGACAATTTCAATTTGCATTCCGGTCTGACTTCGTCCCGGTGTCATGTAAACGGGGCCCTAGAAATACACACTCGCATATTATGCAAATACGCTATATTTAGAATGGACCAAACTAATTACAATGAATGTTTTTAATTGAGTCAAAAACCGCTCTGTATTCACAACTCTGATCGACATAATCCACATAAGTTATAACACAAAGTCGTGGAAAAACAAAAAATCCCATCACAACGGAGTGGATAGAAACCTCGAAAACATAATAGCATGCAATGACATACGCTGAGCATTTGATAGGTCATTATTGATTGACTAGTGCTTCTCTGCCAACAAAAGCTTTGATTGACATCACCTTTCATTCCTGTCAACATCAATTGGAATTCTATGGTCTGGAACCAAAACGTTTTTCTCGTTTGTGTTGATGGCTAAATATTAACATACAAAAATTTGAAACATGAAACGAATATTGTTATCATGATTTTAAATTTCGAGTGTAAATTTTAATCATTTATTACACCTACAAACCAGAAGCAGTTGCAAACTATAGGCCCTCTGGCAGGAATGGAACCTGCAAGCCAAGCGAGCTAAAGATTCCAGTTGTCGAGCTCTAGCTGCAAGGTCAAGGGCCACAGGTTCCATCTGCCAGAGGCCTATGGTTGCGCAACTGCTCCTGGATAAACATATAAAATTTGTACTCAAAATTTCCACCACAAGAAAATCTTCAACAATTAGTTCTATCAAGTAAGATGTCCAATATCCGGATATTTACACTGGTATCACCCTAGTATAATTAAATAAATGAATTTGGAGTTGCTGTATCTTATTTGCTTATATAGAGTGCTAGTTGTACTGGAATTGCATTGGCAGGGCCTCAGGTTTAATTCCTATCGGGGTTGCATTTTTTACAACTGCTCCTGCACGGTTACAGTAGGTTTAAAAATGTATAAAATTTACACTGATCAATAATAAAACTTTCACTGATAACCATTATTAATAACCTGTTAAGTAAGTAAGTGAGTAAAGTAGGTGTATCCTAATCATCCGTACTTGCTGCTGAAAGCTAAGCTGAATTGCGAAGGACGCAGCTCAACCTGGTCGAGTCGAAGGCTTACTAAGGGCACCTTTGGCAGCCGCCTTATGACTCATGTCTGATTACGGAGCACAGCTATGGTGGAAAGGTCAGTTAGGGGACTAAATCCCAACCCACCCTGTAACCCAGAGAAAACCCGCAAGTTTCAGTAGAGCGTTGAATAATTCTTTAATTTCACATAAGTGTCATTAGTCCAATGTGGGGATCGAACTCACAATCTCGGATGTGAAAGGCGCTTTCTCTGACGATTGCACCACCAAAGCCCTATAAGTGGTGAACTTAATACAGAGGGGGTTATCGATTTGTCCAGGGGGAGGGGTTTTCATAGCTGAGGCGCTAATAAAAGGGAAGCATTTACATATAGGGATTCTCCTATGACATGACAAAGTGCACAAGGTAGAACAAGGAATAATCTCATTAACTTAAATCACGATAGTTGCAATGGCAGCTAACACATGTCAACACTGGACCTGGCTTTAACTATTTTCTTAATTTCAAAGATATCTAAAATTGTGCCCTGATGAAGGATAGTGGATATTATCGGCTAAGCCGGGTTTGGGGCCAACTTTCAATGCTTTAGATATATCTCAATATGTGTTTATTAAAGTCTTATATAATTTAAGAGAAGTATAAGCTAATATAAAAATGTTTCAGTTGAAAAGTACAAGTTGTCAATAATGTCAGTTATGTGTAGATAAAGAGTTTGCTGTACGAATAGAAACTGGCAGAGTGTTCCAATTGAAAGCTTGTCGCAAAAATAGCCTTTTTATTTTACCAATATTTCTGATATAGCATAGAACGCTGATTTGTATGAATTGTTCTATTTTTGGATCTCTTCCCAGAGAACTCCAAATCTGCGTGCTTATTTTAGCCATACTATCTTCTCCTGTGGTGTTTGGTGATAGATTGTGAAGTGGTGGATTGCCTGTCTGTGCAGGTACATTAAATTTTGTAAAAAATGCCGCACAAAACAACGGCTCTTTCTGTCGGGCACTTTTGCATTGTTGTCCTTAATATGGATGTTCATATCAATCATTACTTTATTAGTGAAGTGAACTATAGAAAGAAATGAACTCGTGACTGAGGAATTATAAAAAGGGCGTCCATCATGTTCGTGTTTTCAAAGCATTCGACAGCAGCAAGAAGACGAGCATCAAGAGCAACAAGCAGAATATTTATCCGATTCTGTAAGTTTTTATCATTTATATATGTCTATATAGGTAAAATTTGTTTCACAATTTTCAAATGCATGGTTCCAGCTTGCTGGCTTCTCGCACCATACCATGTATATATTACTCATTGCATGAAAAAATATTTTGTTACTCATTGCATGAAAAAAATATTTTTAACACCTTACTATATTTCTAGATTATGGCTACTTTCTTCCAGGAACCAAATTACGAGGGACCTTGCAAGGTAATGTGGATTCTTTTAAATTAAATTATTCTTCCCATGATAGCCTGAATGGGCGTCTGATGCCCTAGCCTGATTCCTGGCACTCGGGTTACATACATACATACATACATACATCATATACATACAAACTATACTGTTCACAAGATCACTCCTCCAAATTTTTGAAGTTAGCATCGAGGTTACCATTGTCGTTACCATGCGAGGTTACCATCCCTTGGGTGCATGCATGTTTATCTCTTCAGTGTTTATCTCTTCTATTTTGCCCATTTTGTAGCTTTACTTGTTTGTCCTATAAGGGATGGCAAGCTAAACAAATAGTGACCGAGTTGGGGTATTTACATATATAAACATACAATGTAAGTGCTTAACTGAAGATTCGGTCTATCTACAGTATAATGTAAGGCTGTTTCAGACAACGCAACAAATGCTGTCCTAGGGGTGATAAAATACGAAAATGTTCTGGAGGAGAACTCCCCCTACTATTCCATACGACACCACGCCAAACGTTTTGTCACCTACAAACATCCGTCAACTCTTCACACTCCGTGTATAGTATGACCCCTTTGTGTAGATGCCCCCCTTCGCTGACGAATTCTTAAAAAAGCCCTGCTATTCGGTGACTTGGTTATCAAATATTTAACAAATATTATTTGTTCGAAACGACAAGGAATGGAAGCTCTCCGCCACCGATGAAAATTATCCGATAGTGGGTGAAGAGTCTTTACATACTTTACCCCAGTTGTCATAATTCCCTAAAAAATGCTCTGATGCAGGATATAGTTGATCAATTTTGTTTGCGCTAAGTTCGGATTTAAACTAAGCCTGTTACGAAACCACCTGAAAATGAATGTTTTCAAGCAGGCAGACTATACGAGGCTTTTGAAATAAGTTAAAAATACAGACAATTCGCATCTTCATATAGTCCTTGGATTAAGATTTTATTGTTGCAAATGGCAGCCATTTTGGAGAGACCACCGATCACCACGTATCCATTGAAAATGTCAGTCACATCACAAAAAGGGAGAAGGAGAAGATATGGTTTGACATTCAATTATGGTATCAGGCAAATTTCCTTCATCAAATTGTAATGCAAGTTTTTTCTTTCCAATATGGCCGCTGCGTGCTGGCTCCAGTTTCCAAGTACATAGCAACAGATTTGTTCCCTTGAAAGGTTTAAATCAGTAATTAATTAGACATCACAAAAATATTGTGGGATCGGTCACCGAAGAAAAACATTTTTCTTAGTAAAAAGTTTGCGGAACCAACATTAATTTAAAAAGAAAAAAATATAAAAATATAAAAAACTAGAGGGCACTCAGAGACTGCATACCTCCGCCTACGCGCAAAATATTGAAGTAATCTATTGTTATTAGAATTTGAATGGCTGGTGCATATATTATACACGTCCTAATTACGCATTCAGTATAACGTTTTATTTAATTGACCGGGAAAAGCAAGACAAACTTTTGTTATTTCTCATTCAATTTTTAACCAAATTCAACCAAATTTTAATCAGTTCTTCCTTAGCCGATGGGAAATGCACTCACAAAATTTCGTACGGATATGTTCGGTATTTCTTGAGTTATCGTGCTCACAGACAAACACACACACATACATACATACACACACACACACACACACACACACACACACACACACACACATACACACACACATACAAACCCAGATGATTACATAACCTCCTGGCGGAGGTAACCAGATGATTACATAACCTCCTGGCGGAGGTAATCATCTGATCAAAAATTTTACAAAAGGATACCATTCAGTTGCCACACATGACCTTTACCACTTTTGTGACATGAGCTTAATAACTGCTTGTACAATTTCTGCAGTCTAAAGTTTCATGTTGTCTGCACATGTACTTTCTTTGGAGACACTATTTTCCTCCTGACTAATCGGAGAATGATCAAGGTGTTGACTCTTATTGATTTACATATTTGTTTCCCTCAATATTTGAGTGAGTCATGCTTTGGAAATGACAAATTATCCTTTACCACTTCTGTGAAATGATTAGTTTTTATTACCCAAACCTGGAGTAGTTTTGTTTTGCATTTATCCAACTTTTAATTCACTCACTCACTCAAAATTCTGTTTACCCAACCCTTTTTTCTTCAGTGCCATCCCCGCCATAAATAATGACCGAGAGTCCAAAAGAGAATGAAAATACACATTCCCTACGAAAAGGAATTTCCTCTTAACTTTGCAGGACAAAGTAAGGGACTGTTCTGACATTACCGCTCGTGGACCGCTTCCCAATGGTGCGCAATCTGCCAAAGTTGAGGGCAAAAATAATTGGTTAGTGTACGGAGGAAAGAACGAGGCCGACCCAAGTGCTGAGCTTGTTGCTGGAAAGGCTTACCCAAACGTGGAAAGCATGGGATTGCCGTCAGGCACCATTATCCAAAGCATTAAAATTAAAGCGTAATGATATAAAAGTACAAACTGAACAATGCTTCATGTTAATTATTTTTGTAAGTTTGATTTCAATTGGAGGTGAATAAAACTTTTCAGATTTCTACACCGTCTTGCTGTTGTTTGATCAACAACTTGCACATGTTGCAATGCTTTATGGCTTTAGTATGGATATCAGTCGACATTCTTCCAAGATCCTTGCATGCATGAAGTACATAATTTTACTCTTTTAAAAAGAAACTACAAATTCACAATTTGTCACCCTGGAAATATTTGTTGAAAACCCGAACGTGAACTGCGGTTGGGCATGATAGACAATAAATTAACAGTTCCGACACTGCATAGTTATAGTTGCTATACTTCCATCAGCCATTTTTATTTTTGCGTAAGAATGCATCTATAATTTACGAACTTCAGTTCCCAGCTTTAGTGACCATTTTTCTATAGCAGATAGCCTGACTCAACGACAAATTTACTATACGCTTCATTAAACTTTATTTTTGCGATGGCAGCCAGTCTGAAAATGAAGTTGATATAGCCTATTCTCAACGATTTTCCATCACCGATGTGAGTGAATTTTAATTTGATGTGAGTGAATTTTAATTTGATGTGAGTAATTTTAATTTGCGGAAGCTAAATATATTATCGTGTGACAGTTGTGAGCAGGCTATCTTTAAAACGGGGAACGGGGAATGGGGGAAGGGAACGGGGAAGGGAATAACCGGGGAATGGCCGGGGAATGAGCGGGGAATGGCCGGGGAATGACCTGGGAATGGCCGGGGAATGGCCGGGAAATGGCCGGGGAATGGACGAAATCGGGAAAAACCCTAACATTTTGAAGATTTTTGATTAAATATTTTCATGAATTATTTTCGTTGCGTTATGGCAAGTGTAGCATTGAAGTAAATCGAAATTACAGTAATAGGATTACAGGCGACCGAAGCTATGTTGTTTGTGTAAATGACTGACGTAGTTCCTTTCTTGGGAGAGGCCAAGGCTCCCACGCAATTGTATTATATAAGATTGTGCTTTACTTTAATAAATGGTTCGCCACTCTGCCTCTGGCTTTGACTCCGCGCACTTGTTTTGCATTGACATTGTGCTCGGCACGTTACAAATATTAAAACATAGCTATAGTAGACCCTATAATAGACCGCAATAAAATATTTTTTATTAATGTGGATGTTTGCACGATCTTATCATTCTTATGTTGATTTATTGTTTGCGTGAATAAAACAATATTCGTCAAGGTTAACTATACAAGTAATCACCCGATCCGCACATTATAAGCCAACAAAAGTATTGGTATAACGCAAGACAATGCCATTAATATATTGGGATTGAACTTTACGCAAATTTATACTCCTAACCAACAGCCCCAGCTCTAATTCTTGCTCTCTCTTTTTGTCTGATTTTTATCAGAAATGTACCAAACAAGGTATTTTTATCGCTACCAATAAAATATTTGCATGATTGTATCCAATAACTTATTGGCAGTGTTTAGAGCTGGGGCTGTGGGTTAGGAGTATAAATATGCGTAAAGTTCAATTCCAATATATTAATGGCATTGTCTTGCGTCATACCAATACTTTTGTTGGCTTATAATGTGCGGATCGGCTGATTACTTGTATAGTTAACAACTTAACACTGACGAATATTGTTTTATTACGCAAACAATAAATCAACATAGGAATGATAAAATCGTATAAACATCTACATTAATAAAAAAATATTTTATTGCGGTCTAGTAGGGTCTACTACAGCTATGTTTTAATATTTGTAACGTGCCGAGAACAATGTCAATGCAAAACAAGTGCGCGGAGTCAAAGCCAGAGTGGAGAACCATTTATTAAAGAGGCCCACCAAGGGGTTATGGCCGACAGGCGACATTCCTTAAAAAGAGGCGACAGACTATCTAAAAAAGAGCGACAAACGGCAGCTTGTGACTGGAAAAAAAGCGACAAATTGCGATTTATATTATGAGTTAAAAGTGACGGCGACATTTATTACAATAAAACAAGCGACAAAGCAGCTAGAAAATGAGTGACAAGCGACCTGGGTTACACCCTTGGTGGGCCTCATTAAAGTATAAAGCATAATACAATTGCGTGGGAGCCTTGGCCTCTCCCAAGAAAGGAACTACGTCATTTACACAAACAACATATAGATTCGGTCGCCTAATCCTATTACTGTGCTACACTTGTCATAACGCTATGTCACAATGCTACACTTGTCATAACGCAACGAAAACAATTCATGAAAATATTTAATCAAAAATCTTCAAAATGTTAGGTTTTTTCCCGATTTCGTCCATTCCCCGGCCATTCCCCGGTCATTCCCCAGCCATTCCCCGGCCATTCCCCGCTCATTCCCCGCTCATTCCCCGGCCATTCCCAGGCCATTCCCCGGCCATTCCCCGGTCATTCCCCGGCCATTCCCTGGCCATTCCTTTCCCCGTTCCCTTCCCCGTTTCCTTCCCCGTTCCCTTCCCCCGTTCCCCGTTTTAAAGATAGCCGTTGTGAGCACCGTACTTCTTTACCGTAAACCGCCCTCAAATGCACCTAACCGCATAACTGCCAAACTACAGGGTGTCCCAAAAAAACCCGAAAACTATTGAAATCACTTATTGTTAAAATTGAATGCCCTACCAAAAAGCTGAACGTAATAATCGTAAAATATTGACAAGGTGCATGTATTAAAATTTAGTTAAGAACATCTCCTTGTAAAGTGCGCGATTTTTTGCTCTTGGGAATCACTAAAGCAGCTTCCTAAATAGTTTCTTTATGCAGAAAATTTACTTATGTCAATCATTTATGCACTCGTGGGAACCAACAGAGTGCTTAGGCATTCAAATTCTAACAATTAAATTGTTAGAATTTCCTTTCAAATTCAAATTAGCTATAACGTATTGTAGTAATTTGACAGCTCTAATTACAAGGAATACTGTATTTCTTTTAAGTTCTTCTTTGAGTTTTGTCCCATGAGTACAAGACCTAGTGTTCTTATCCAACCATTAATTTAAAGCAATTAGAGCTGTCAAATTACTACAATACGTTATAGCTAATTTGAATTTGAAAGGGTTCAGTTTTTTTATACACATTGTATAATTGTTTATTTATATTGTACAATACAGGGTGTATCAAAAAAAGGAGACCTTTAGAAATCAACCATATTGTTAAAATTTGAATGCCTTTTCAATTGCATATATGCTGAACCGTAATGCGTGAAATATTGATGGCGTGCATACATTAGAAAAGTAGACCTTTAGAAATTGAAATAACGTTTAAACAAAAGATTGTCTGCTCCTGGGAACAATCTGCCATGCTGCCCATGCATACTGTACGTAGATCGCATGTTACGCACTCGTGGGCTTAGCAAAGTGCTCCAGGATTCAAATTATAACAATGGTTTATTCCTAAAGGTCTCCTTACGCTATGTCACAATGCTACACTTGTCATAATTCCTAGTATATGCACAAATCAATATTTCACGCACCACGGTTCAGCATATGTGCAATTGAAAAGGCATTCAAATTTTAACAATGTGCTTGATTTCTAAAGGTCTCCTTTTTTTTATACACCCTGTATAATGCTGTCGTTCCACTAGAATGCCAACCATGCATAACTAAAACGTTTACTGACCATTTATGTTAATAACAATTTATTTTATTCAAGGCTGTCATTGTGTCTTAGTACAGAGATATATTAGGAAGAATTCATATTCGTTATTTAAAATTTTAATTTCTAACTTGCAACTTGCAACTTGCAGACTGGCAGATTCGCAACTCGGTGTTAGATTTGGGGGTTAGATGGTTAAGGCCAGTTTACAATTGCAATTTTTTCTGCGATTTCTAGTGCGACTTTCTTCTCCTGATGGATGTGAACGAGTAGATGAGTTATGAATGTTCTGAGTATATGTACCCCCATGTGAACATTCATAACTTATCCACTCGTTCACACACATCAGGAGAAGAAAATCGCCCCTAAAATTGCAGCAAAAATTGCA